AAAGTTTTTTATGTTTTTTTTTTTTTTTTTTTTTTTTTTTTTTTTTGAGACAGGGTCTCACTATGTAGTTGAGACTGACCTGGAAGTCAGTATGTAGCCCAGGATGGTCTCGAACTCACAGTGATCTGAGTGCTGGGATTATAGGCATGCCCTACCATGCCCGGCCTGTTTCCCAACTTAAATTAGCACACACACACACACACACACACATACACACACAGTTTTTTTTTGTACCGGGATCAAGCTCAGGACCTAGTGCTTTCCAGGCAGGTGCTAATTAGCATAGTTTCTTAGTCTGTTCTTTCAACAATGTCACAAAATAGTTGGAGAATAGAATTACATTTGACTAATACCATTCTGTATCTAATTTTATTAAGGCACATTTATTATGTGTAGTTTTCAGAAGACTTTGAATTTAACACCTCCTACATAATTAGTTGTTGAATAAAATATTGTTAAATCGTTCACTGCTGAATTTACAATACATGTTGACTTAGTAAATACTGTTTGCTTATTTGTTTTTGTAAATGTAGTGCTTATTTATGTCTTGATTCTGAAAAAATCTTATCAATTGAGATTTTAAAATGCTTAAAAGCTTCATGTAAACATAAAGCGCAGAATTAGCTTTAAGTATACATATTTCACACCCATTAACTCTGTTGCCAAATAATTTACTATATAAAATTAAAGCAGTTGCATCAGTGTTCTCTGCTTTACTAGTGGGCACTTAAAGGGACATTGCTGTTTGTACTTTGCAAATTTCTAATTTTTTAGTTTTTCTACTAATAACAGTTTGAATAATAATACATTGCTTTTAAAAATGGTTGGGAGTCCAGAATATTTACATTATTCACATTTTTTTTGCAGTTATACATGTGAAAATTGTTGTTTACTGAACATAAAGCTTTGTCAGATTGAAAATTGGGGTCTTTCCCATTGATGCCAATAATATTTTAAGTTATCTTGCAATTGGAAAAGAATTACAGTATTGGAAAATAATATGCCATTATAATATGTCCCATAATCTTAAAGGAAATCATGTAATTTGAGGCAGGAGTGTGCAGGGTGCTTTACTATTAATGTTGGAAGGGTGTAGAATTCGGCCTCATACCCATGTAGGCATTCAGAGGGTCTTGTCTTCATCATAGCTGTGTGTACATGAATTAGCATTGAGCTTGCTAAGGAACACATTTTAATGTCCTGAAAAAGAAGGTAGTAAAGGCCCCTGTACAACAGTCAG